AAATGATTAACTGTGTATGTAATGAAGATCATAGTGTGGGTTGAATCCATTTTCATAACCACTGTCTTTAACTGATTTAAATACGGAAACTGGGCTTATTCATCAGAATTTTGTATGACTTGACTTGCTTGACCTGAGCAATGACTTGACTTGACTTGCTTGACTCTCACCACAGTGACTTGGGACTTGCTTGATACTTGTAGGTCAAGACTTGAGACTTGCTCCTGACTTGCACATGTAGGACTTACTCCCACCTCTGCAACACACTGCGTATGGGTGTATGCCGCGTGCTAGCAGTCCCACGCATCTCTGAAATGTTTTGTGCAATTCACACATTCAGTTGTATGATTCCTTTCAAATGTATCTACCTTTTTATAAAATGAATTATGAAGGTTTAAAGGATTATTATTCACAGGGCTGGGCTGATGAACAATGTCATGGTCAGTCATCATAAATAAAATAAGGCAGGTGCAGAATATTAAATATAAGTATTAGTTGCGGTTAGTTTAAATCGTCTTTGTTACGCGTTGGCCATATATTTTAACTTTAGTTGGTGTTTTTTCCTTTGCTGTAAAACATCAACTACTAGCCCTGTAAACAAATGTCCTCATGCAAATGTGGGCTGAGAGCTGCAGACCTACATCGTCTCTATCAGGCACAGAACGTCATAAATGTGTAAATCAGTCACAGAATTCATATTCTCAGGCCATGCACAGTTTTTTAGTAGGTGTGTTCCACCATTCCATTTGCTCACAGCAGCACACACTGAAACAACAATGTGCTTTTATTTGCATGTCAGAATTGAATATAAAACATAAACATTATAATGTGAAGATCAGTGCCTGCAGATGATCTGGGGGGGTCCGAAAACCAGGCAGTATCTGGTGTGAGGGTTAGGGTAATGTTGTGAATCGAGTGGCCCATGGTGGTGGTGGGGTTATGGTATGGGCAGGTGTATGTTATGGACGACGAACACAGGCCACTCGATTCACAACATTACCCTAACCCTAACCCTACCCCTACCCCTACCCCTACCCCTCACACCAGATACTGCCTGGTTTTCGGACCCCCCAGACCCCCCCAATAAAGCAAAACTGCACGTTTCAGAGTGGCCTTTTATTGTGGCCAGCCTAAGGCACACCTGTGCAATAATCATGCTGTCTAATCAGCATCTTGATATGCCACACCTGTGAGGTGGGATGGATTATCTCGGCAAAGGAGAAGTGCTCACTATCACAGTTTTTTTCAGATTTGTGAACAATATTTGAGAGAAATGGTTATTTTGTGTATATAAAAAATGTTTTAGATCTTTGAGTTCATCTCATGAAAAATGGGAGCAAAAACAAAAGTGTTGCGTTTATATTTTTGTTCAGTGTATATTATTGTGCACATGGTCTTTCAGTTCTGATAATGAAGAGCCATGACCTCACAGCTGTAAATAAAGAGGGTAGAGGTACTGAGCTATGGGCCAATAAGAGCTGTGCATGATATCAGCCTGTTGCTGTGTCTTTAAGAGCATTTGAATCCTTCTCACCCGCATCACTGGCTTTCCCCTCTGCACATTTTCTTGCATTCACTTTTTTTTACTTCTACTTTTTTAAATTGTTCTCATCCTTCTCAAAACCATAATGTCTCTGTTCCTTCTATGTTCTTGTCTTTCTTTCCCCCCCTCTACCCACTCTGATCCTGTCCCCTCTGCTGCAGAAGCTGTGGAGGACTCCACACTAAACTCAAACCCTTTCCTCACTCTCGATGCTGTCCCTGGCGTCCTCTGACGCTGGCAGCCTGTCCTCTAAGACAGGGGTTCCCAAAGTGTGGGCCGCGAGACCCCGAGTGAGGGTTGCGAGATGATTACAAAATACATTTTTATTAATTTTTGTAAACATTTTTTAAAAATTATTAATAATAACGATTGCACAGACATTTTTCAGGGGCGGACTGGCCATCTGTATAATTTCCCCGCAGCGAGGCTCCCCCTTTGACATTCCAATGCAGTGTTTCTCAAACTTTTTTATACCAAGGATCTTAACCAATAAAAAAAAAACGTTTTTGCAGCCCCAACAACAGCCTCTAATCATCAACAGACTTCATGCAATGCTTCATTGGATGCATATATTAGATAATAATCTCTATCTCACTCCTAAAACATCTAAATCTACTTCCAGCATGGATAAATGTTCATACAAGACATCCATTGTTTGTTTTATACGCTTCTTGAAATCCTAAAAAACACATCGTTTTCGGGGGGTGCTAGTGGATCGCCGGAGCTGTTAGATTAACATTAACATGCTTATTGTAGTTCTAAGTGCAATGCCTTACGGCCTGAAGCACCATCCTTGATGGAGCATATGTGTGGGCAGGAAAGGAGTGAGCAGAGAGTAGAGTAGTCGTCGATTATTGTTCTGTTTTCTGTGACTATCTGCCTCACCCTCTCAGACTTTCAGTTGCGCGCTACTAAAGAGACATGTTACCATGGAAACCAAACAATGGTGTAGCTGTATTAAAGTCCGAGTGGAAACAGTCCTGAGTAAATCTGATTTTGTCAGAAATCGGGAGAAATTTGACCCCGGGAGGAAACCGGGAGAGGGCAATGAAATCGGGAGTCTCCCGCGAAAATCGGGAGGGTTGACAAGTATGCCCACAATCAGGCTAAGTTTCTCAAGTGTATTTCCTCAGCCCTTTACTCTCTTATGGCGCATTTCCACCATGGCGCGGAGCGCGGTTTAAGTGTGCGGTGTTGTGCCGGGCCCGTTTTTGGTTGCGTTTCCACTATGCCTAGTTCCGGCCCGGGGCTACTTTTTCACTTTTTTTCTGGCCCGACAAAATCGTGGTTCTATCGGGCCCAAGAAACAGGGCTGAGTTTGCTAGAGAGAGAATCGCTGACAAGGTGGCTACAACTACAACAAGATGAACATATTTGACCGTGATTTAATTGTAATACACGTTTCAAAATGATGCCGAAGTAACAACATACTGATACCGGTTAGTACAAACCATGAATTAATTTAAACTGTGGGTTTTTCTCCGGAACGATGTGAGGGTCTAAGGACAGAGGGTGTTGTTTTCTCATACTGATATTCTGCACAAACTGTGCTGTTGTATTTACTGTAGGGTATTTTTATTATATGTAGCTCTTTGGCTCGACCAAAAATCGTTTAAAAATGTGCTATATAAATAAAACTTGATTTGATTTGTTTTCTGAATGGAGATCGGCTAAGCTAACACTGTATATGCTCCGACCGTCCACACTCACAACATCGGCCTATACAGACATAAATAAACCAGCGACTGTATTCGCCATGACACAGACAGTCTGTGGTTTGTACTTTAACTTTTGTCTAGTTTCTGAACAGATATGAAGAGCTGTGAGCTCTGAGGGCTAACAGCTAACGGCTGTGTTGGTTTTCTTTCACATTTAGCCATGTGCTGAGAGTCCCTTCCTCTGCCCTTCCTCTGCCCTTCCTCTGCTCTTTCTCTGCCCTTCCTCTGCTCTTTCTCTGCCCTTCCTCTGCTCTTCCTCTGCCCTTCCTCTGCCCTTCCTCTGCTCTTCCTCCGGTAGAATCCGTTCCCAAAGTTGCTCTTGGCTGCTCTCTCACTGCTCTACTTTCTGCCCTCATATCTTCTCCCATCTTCCTCCCTCTTCTTCCTCTGTGTGTTGCTGCTGTGGTTATGTGTCAGACTCCTTCTGTGGCCAAGCCCTTACAACACCACTCCGCTCTTCCAGTCTGAGCCCCCTGCTGTAGCTGGTCTCTTCAGAGATACGTTTTATCAGCTTCATTGAGCTGTTACAGGTCCCACTCAGAGATCCCTATTTATACACCTCACTGTTGATCTGTGTTGTACTTTTCTTAATCTCCTGGGGAATAACTTCACTGACATTAAAGCAGACATTTAGGCAAAGCTGAGTTTGATCAGAAACATCAGTGATCTGAAACATACATGGAAAATGTCATGTTTGGCTGAGCCTGGTTTTTAGCCACACCCCTGCATTTTTGACAAGGCAGTGACACTGCATCCCTGTCCCTCATGGCTGAATGACAAGTAGCTATATCCCATACTCACAATCTGAAAATCGGCTTGTAACCTTAAGAATTGTCACTACGAACACATAGTATCTTCAATTAAGTAAACTTTTTCGGGGTTTAATGCAAAGTATTAGGTTTTTATGTGTGTAAACCTCTTCAAAAACGTGTATTCTAGCCATGTACTTGCTAGCATTCTTTTAGTTATGCTCAATTTTGGCTAGAATCGTCACTACCGAAACATATGCTTAAGTTTCGGTAATTGCCATGATGGTTTCGGTCGTGACAAAATGGAATGGTAAGCTGGTAAATCCCATAGTTTTGAAATAAATGTGTTTTAATGTCTGAAAATCAGTGTGTTACTTTAAAGGTCTCCTATTATACTATTGTTAGGCATATATTATAGGTCTCAGATATATAAAAAACATGTTATGAGGTGTTTTGCTCAAAATACCAAACAGATCACCCATTCTAGCCTCATTCCCCTCTCTGGTGCTGGTAAAATGCAAAACACAGTCCTGAACCTTTGTGTCATCTGTCACCTATAAGAAGTAGTCATGCAGTGATACCTAAGATATGCAGATCTTACCACTGACCTTGACCTGTGGTCTTTATAGTGGTGAAATAGATGTTTGCATTATGGTAGTATTTTATATGTCTTTTAACTAACCAGTTCAGAAATCCAATCTGTCCTTTATACAACAGCAAGTAATGGCTTTATGAAAGCATGATGCTGCCTTCAGGGCATCGGGACATTGATCAGTCATCAATGTTGGTGTGTTGGTATGCTGAAGCATAACAACACAGACAAATTGTCAGAATGACATGACGTGTTTTCTTTCAAAAATGGCAATGTGAACCTATGAACCACCAAATAGTTGTTGTTTTTCTACTTGCTTTTGGTGGTGTTGGGAGGAACAGAGCTATTGTGTGTCCATATTTGGATAATGGCAGTTGCATGTATTTTTGCTTCTGCAGGGTTTACAGCCTCCCCAACAGCCCAGCAGCAACAGAACCCTCAGGGCCTTAACGTGGACTTTGACTCCGTGTTTGGCAACAACACTATTGCTAACGACCTGGATTCTACAGGTAAGTGTTGTGCTCCTACATACTCTTATATTCTTTCAATGCCCTTTGTGAGCCACTAGACCTCATGTACTCTACTGCCCCCTGAAGGTTTGGGGACAAAATGGATCATGTTGAGACTATGGGTCCTTCTCAGGTCGATTTATTTTAATTTCCTCGCTCCTCGGTCCTCGGTATCACCGGAAGTTGATTTGTCTGCGCCATCTTGAGTAGCGTCCCATGGCGCTTATTTCTGCTGGAGGAGCGAAGAGCGATAATGGAGGAGTGATAATCGAGGAACCACCAGACCATGAGAGCAGTTTCCCAGCGGAGTGAAGAAAACACATGAACCTCACGAGAGTCACTCCTCAGTTTATACCGTGTTTTGTTACAAATATGTGATATATCTGAACAACAAAGTGGTCAAAAATCATTTTATTCATTTATTGGAAACATTTTCGTGATCGCTTTTTTCGTTTATACATTTTAAGAATGGCGTTTATCTTTTTTGAGAATGAGTTCTTATTTTTATTTAATGTATTTGGGTCTACAACAGATGATACAAATGTTTGTGTCAGTAAATGTGTGCTAACAGAGGCGGGGGTGTGTGTGAAATAACGGGGACAGAGCTGCTGTCAGACGATCAGCTGTGCAGCGTCATCACAAACAGACGTCGCTTCACGTGACGCTCCGGAGGAAAGGACGTCCCATTGCTCTTAAAACTAATTTCCCTGCTTCTCGTGGTTTCCTTGTGTCTCTCCATGCTTCCCTGGTGGGAGGGACTAGAGGCAGGGAAACGACGCAAGTGAGGGACGCAAGGATTCCATTTAATCGACCTGAGAAGAACCCTATAAAATCAAAGTGCTGCACTTTTTTGTCACTTTGTATGGTTTTATGTGGGCAATGGATGTTCAGAGCATATTCCACATTTTTCACTGATCAGGGGCCTCATTTATAAAGGGATATACGCTCAAAAAATGGCGTACGCCAGTTTCTACGCAATGTTTGCGATTTATAAAATACTAACTTGGCGGGAAAACGTGCGGTCCTCCACGCAAACTCTAACCCATGCGTACGCACTAAGCACAAAAACGGGAGAGACGAGAAACTGCGACACTGTTGGAAGAATGGAGAGAAATATATGGAAATAATACCATAAATAAAATGTTACCTCTCATTTATCATATATGAAGAATTCATTTTCAAACATTGATTAAAGCCAATCTTAAAATGATTTAACAAACACCTGTTTGAGACTCCTCAGTGCACACAAACACATAACTTGGAGAAATAAATAAATACGGATATGTTATTTAAAACCACCTTGAATATGTTGTGTTAATGTTATGAAATGTTTTCTCATAAATGATGCGGTTTTGCATTTCTATAGGTTGTACGAGCATGGTTTTATATACTACCATGTTTAATCATGTTTTATGCCGTTTGCTAAGACTTGATAAGTCGCTCGTAAAACACAGGAGGTATGGAAACTAAGAACACCATATGTGGTCAATTGTACAGCTGATATAACACAACACAATAGTTGTATTTCCTTTAACTGGTGGATATAGAGTTGCTGCGGGGGGGGGGGTTGAGACACACAGGCTGCAGTGGAGACGCTGCGCACAGCTGATCGACAGCTGGGACACAAACACATAATTCAGATCCAGTCGTCATGACTCCACTCCGGAGGGATTCCCCGATCACTTTTTACAGTTTCTCATCAAGGGGGGGGTCTCCTGTCCCCGGTACAAACACACTGCCTAAGGAAGGCTATGTGTATTTGTTTTGTCATGAACCTTTTTCGGACCACTTATTTATTTATGTTGGTGACGATCCGACCTCCATGCTCCTACTCTGGTTCAAACTGCATCCACCAAACAATGTGATTTATCTCGACCTCCCCAAAATAACCAAAATCTGACACGGTGTGAGATGTCTTTTTTAGCTGTTCTGTCGTCATTTCCTGCGATCTTCTTCATAAAGTCAGTCAGAATGAATGAATGGGCGTTTCTTTGACTATTTATAGGCAAATATGGGCGTTACGTGAAGCCCGCAAAAGCTGCACCGCATTTCCAGTCGATTGTGATTTATAAAGGGAAACGGCGTAGGAAGTGCTGTACGCACTTTCCTCGCCGGTACGCAATATTTGGTGAATCGGAAAATGTCGGAACATTTCTGTACCTATTTTTGGGATTTCTACTACGAAAGCAACCTTCCCACGTGAATCCTACGCACAGCGTTATAAATGAGGCCCCAGGCCATTTGACTAATTATAAACGTGGCTTGCCCAATTATTCTTAGTTAACATGCTAAGAATTGCATGTGAACATGATATACTGTACAATTAACCCCGACTGATTAAGCAACAGCATTTTACACAAAGGTTAAATGAGAGCTTCCTAATGTCAGAAATACATTTTGTGAGCATAACATTGATTTTATGCTCTACCATAATAACTGGACTGAAAGTGGCACACTTTGGAAATATCTTGCCATCAAAGACAGCGTTGCATATATTTGCACTAACTTTTTATTGAAATA